ATACCAAGCAGTATACCGAACGGTATACCGCTCGGTATACAGTATCGTACCGTACCGAGCGAATATCGAAACTCCGGTATGATACGATATTTCAATCCTTGTGCAAAAGTATCATCATTCCAGATGTTTTTGAATTTTGATCATGTCAAATAAGTTGGCTGTGTGAAGACACTTCATTGAGTAGGCTCCCTTCAAAATCTGACCTTACAAAAAAGGCATGTGGTTAATTTGGCTGTGCATTAGGAAGATTTTGGCTTTTTGAGCATGCATGTATTGTTGGTCACATTAGAATGGAAGGTGATATCTAAAAATGTTATATGGGCCTAGGATTGTATACACGAGCTCTTTGATTAACTTAGTGACCGGCATTGTCGGAAAGCTAACTGCCACGAGAATCTGATTGGTCAATAATCTGAACATGCCCCTAGACGGGGTTAAGATAGAAGAATACTAACTCGGAAGCATATGGATGATAAGCTGATTAAAACATTTTCAGCTATTAGAACAATGGATCTGGCATGATGATGTAGCAAAGGTTTCATTCTTCTTTCCTTATTACAGTGTGTAAATTTAAGCTTTAAGCAGCTAAAAATAAACAGGTTTTTCTAAGTTTTGAGAATGCATGCAAAAGTCTGCTGGTCTTGCGTGCCATGCATATAAATATCCAAGGCAAGATGATGTGTTAGCACATGATGTGCTTTAGTTCAGGACAGTGCACCTACATGAATCAGCTCATGTTACTCCCAGGCGTGCACCTCTGATTGTGCCCAAATTTGATCGGCATGGGATGTGCAATAGTATGTACTAGTATCTTTGTCTTTTGATGCTTTGTAGTTGTTATGCAGGTAAATATAACAATTGATGACCTGTTTTTTTGTTTCATTCTTTTTGTCCAACTATTGAATTGTTTCCAAAAAAAGTCCAGCAATGGATGTGATCACCATAAATGATGCATCTGTTAACTTCTAATAGCTAATCAAGACGGCACTTTCTGTGTTGTGATTGAAGTCTTTTTACAAGATGCAGGTTGTGAAGTCTATAACTTGGGAACTGGAAAGGGAACATCTGTATTGGAAATGGTGGCAGCATTTGAAAAGGCTTCTGGGAAGGTGCTACTGTTTGTCTTCTATTATATTCCATATCAATTATTTAATACCCAGTTTCTACCTTCACTTCGTCTTCCTTGTTTTCTGACCTCTAAGAACCTTTCAGAAAATCCCTTTGGTCATGGCTGGAAGGCGGCCTGGTGATGCTGAAGTTGTTTATGCTTCCACCACCAAAGCAGAGAAGGAGCTACAATGGAGGTATGGAGTGGCATACTTTTACCATTAAATGCCTCAGTTCATCCAAAATTATTCTCCATTACATGCCTGAGTGTACTGAAAATGCTCATAAATTAGTTCTACATTGTTTCTGTCAGTTAACTTCTTATCTTCTGGTTGCAACAAAACCTTTTTTCTTCTGAAATTGAATGGCATTTTGAGAGCTATTGTCTAAAGTTAGTTTACTATGACCAGCTTCTTGTCCAGGTGGCTGATGATGGCTTTTGTGCAGGGCAAAGTATGGGATAGAAGAGATGTGTCGAGATCAATGGAACTGGGCTAGCAAAAATCCATGGGGATACGGATCACCTGAGACTACTAACGGAAATCAATTAGGTTATGGATCATCTGAAAGTATTAATGGATCGATTGAGACTGCTAATGAGAAGCGATCATCTGAGACTGCTAACGGAAAGTATCCTACTTATGGGCCGTTTAAGATAACTAATGGAAAGCGCACCGCTTTTGAGTCACCTAAAATTTCTAATGGAAAGCATCCTGCTTATGGATTGGTTCACACTGCTAGCTGGAAGCACCCTACTTGTGGATTGTCTGAGACTACCAATGGAAAGCACCCTACTCATGGATCACCTAAGACTACCAATGGAAAGTATCGTATTTATGGATCGCCTAAAATTGCTAATGGAAAGCACCCTACTTATGGATCTCTTACAACTGTTAATGCAAAGCACGTTATTTCCAAATAGCATTAATTCTTTAGCGGATGAAGAAAGATTACTAATTCAAAGCTTGATACAGAATTGGCATAGGCCCAGCTGATATGATTCTTCAGTTAGATGATGTCTGTCTATTTGTGAATAATCATGCTTCTATCATTAGAGAGGTACTATAGTTAAAGGTGTCCTTGCTTTTCTCTTTAAGGTCCATTATTTGTTACCCTTGTTGGCATATATCAGCTAGACTAGCACAAGATCTGGTATTTAAGCCCTATATGTGAGGATGGCTGATGATTCTTTATCCATAGTTAACCAGAAGTAGCTACCTTAGCAGATATTTTATATGGATTTGGAGGAGGAAGAGATGTCATACATGTGTTATGAGGATGTATATTATTTCATCATTGTATGTCAAATTTGATCGTCTGATGTATATGATATTTGTACTGGTGAAATTTGTATACTCTTTTTGATTGTCTAATCTATCGCATGCATTTCACCAACATCATTGCCAGTTTTCTGTTGTGCTCGGACAGAGACATGTTTCTCATCAGGATACTAAGCGATTGTTTTGACATCTGACTTATATTCACAGTGCACAGTTGTGTCTATTGAACGCAGAGAAGGATTCATGTGTCTGGATTTTGAACAAGGTTGAAGTAAGTGTTTATAAGTCATTTACAGTATATACAAGCAATTGTATACTATCCACAATTAGATTACCTGCGAGTCTCACAAGCATTTGTTTGGCTGTAAGTTACTTGTAGCATGTTGTATGATAATATGAACTATCACGTCATAGCAAGCCAATATTGGTTGAATGCTTAATTCCTCCTCTCGCATGTATTATTCTCAGCCTCGCTCTTTGGATACTAATCATTATCCCCTCTCCGTTAGCTTCAACTAGAAATAACGATTATGCATGTAGACATACATACAGACAGCCACAGCTGCAATATTATTTGCATTATTTTTCTTTTTCTTTTCCAAAATTAAAATGACTTTCTATTAATTCAAAAAACGATTTTATTTACATCTTGTGCTACGGAGATTGGTATATAAAAAATGATTCAGAGGAGAAGGACACACTCCTCTCCAATTAGCATATTTATTACGATTTTTTAAATTTGAAAAAAAATATAAAATAGATTATATCAAAATGACGTCCATAATATTTACACGAATTTGAACCCGAGTCGCAGCAACATTGGAGGAGACCATCGGTGGACCACCAGCTGTTCCCCAATAACTGCGCTATCGATTCAAAAAAATTCAAATCGGAGTCGACCACTGACCCGAATCCGACGACCAATTGACGGATGGTGGACTCGACGGTGAAATGGATCCAAACGCGCTTTCGGCCCTCCGATCCAAGGGCGGAGAAGAGGCCGCCTTCGTCGAACGGTCCAGATCATCCGAACCCGCTCCTCTACGAGTCTTCAAACGACTGCGTCCGTCTTTACCACCGCCACGAAACAGTCATTGCAACATCCGCGGCTGGGTTCGAATCGCTTTCCTCGATCGTCCCTTCGCCTTCCTCTACGATCTCCTGACTCGTCCCCGCCCTCTCTCTCTCTCTCGGTTTCTCCGATTCCTGGGTTGGTTTGGTCGGAATCGGAGTGATCTTGAGGTTCTTGATTTCTTGGCTTTTGTTAGGGAGGGAATCTGATCGTGAGGCGGCATGGAGAGCTTGATTTCGTTGGTCAATAGGCTGCAGAGGGCTTGCACAGCTCTAGGCGACCATGGGGAGGAGAGCGCCCTCCCGACGCTGTGGGACTCGCTGCCGACGATTGCCGTCGTCGGTGGACAGGTAATCATCTATCGGATCTTGCTGCCTTTTGGTACTACCTTTTGCCTTCCGTTTAGGATCTTGTCGTTTCCCTTCCCCTTTCTGTGAATTCAGATGTTCTCCTTTATGAGTCCTAGGTCTCCTCCTTTTTGGTGGGAGATCTTTGTTATTGTAGAGGGGAATTTACAGAGTTGGGTGAACAGACCTAACCTTCGTTCTTGTTGTGGGTTCTTTGATGACTTTAACTTTAAAGAATGGGTTCTCTGATGACTTTAACTTTGAAGAATGGATCTTAGACTTTGATTTTTTGTCATGATTGAAGTTTCTTCATTTCCTTTCTTTTTGGTGCTCATCAATCTTTGAAAGAATGGATCATGGACCCCGATCTTTTGGCACGATTGAAGTCCCTTTATTCTTCTTTTTCTTTTAGGTTCATGGTTTATTTTCATTTTGCTCCTTCCAATCTGACGTTATGTTTGTTGCCTTTCGAATTTAACTTGGTTACATGATTATTCTTGATATCTTCTTGGGAGTGCCATTGATTTGCTGCAAACTTAATCAAAAGAACCAGTAATTAGCATTCACAAGATATTGTCGTTTATAATAGGTTGAAAATAGTGTGGTTAAGAAAGTCATGCAATCTTTTTCTGGTGCAAAAACCAAAAATGAAAGCAAGAAAACCAAGTACCTCCCATTCGACAACATCATATGTGAAGTTGATTTTGGTTAATTTTTCCAGGCTAACTTTATTCTCCAGAAAGAACTCTGTGGTTGTCCACTTGTGTCAGGATGCCAGGCGTTGCTTGTTTGAATTGCTTAGTTCTTCTTTCCATCTCCTATCATCAGACGTCTTAATATGATGCTTCTCTTACCCGACAATCTTTTTCTTGTATGTCTTTCATTAAAGGTCGAAGTTAAGACAAAATTGACTAATTCGTTCTATGATAAAGTGTGCATGTACTTATTCAATATGTCATGATGCATTATAGTGTTATAGAACTTCTTAACAATGCATTGAAGTGTGGGTACTATATTTCATGATGTGAGTATGTGTTATTAGAGCTCTGGCAAGTCTTCAGTATTGGAAAGCATAGTTGGGAAGGACTTCCTACCAAGGGGTTCAGGTAACATATTAGACTCTAAATTTATTTAATAGATAATTTCATATGACGTTAATTTGGTAGTCAATTACTGATTAAATGTTGCCTTTGAATTTAACAGGAATTGTTACTAGACGCCCGCTTGTACTCCAGCTACATAAGATTGATGGAGAGAGAGAATATGCTGAGTTCATGCACCTTCCAAGGAAGAGGTTCACAGATTTTGGTAATCTTGCCTGTCGATAGAATAGTTATTGAAAAGATGAAGTGCCCTTCATGTGTAGCTCCATCATTCTCACAAACATCCTTGCTTCATCCCAACCTTTGTATCCTGTCGACTATTGCTTGCTAGGCTATGATCCTTTGCAAATAATTAGTCAAATAAGCATACTAAAATTATTGTTCATTCATAGTGAACTGCAGTTAGTAAAGGTTGATTGTATTGATATCAGTGCAATTCTTTTTTTTTTTAATTCTTTCAGTGTTTACTTTAATATGATAAGTTTTCATGAATGTTCATTGGGCATCGATCTGTCTTGATCCAAGCCCATGTTGTTAGACATGCATCTTGCATGTTTCATACAGCTCTAGTTTTCTAACATATGTTTCCTCACGTGATCAGAATTCTGACTAGTAGCCTGCCATTCTGCACCATTCTGTGGTGGCGACCTTGTTGTCACATGAATCCATTGTTTCTATAATAAAATTTATTTGGCCATACTTGTCACTGTTGTATTTTCTTTTTAATACTGATGCTGATGTCTGGCTATGCGATGCAAATTTTTATGGCGCTCTCTTTATGATTGTTATTGTACTAAGATGCACTTTTTAATCATTTTCAATGCAGCTCTTGTTCGGAAGGAGATTCAAGATGAAACTGACAGAGAGACTGGTCGTACCAAGCAAATTTCCCCTGTTCCGATCCATCTGAGTATTTATTCTCCTAATGGTGAGACAATGGGGCTGAAGGCTAGAGAACTTTTTTATAAACTTGTGATATTTGAACTTTATTCATGTTTTTGTTAGTGTTAAACAAAAATACACATGACTTCACATATTTGTAAAGGCAACAGATTAATATGTTTTTTACATTCAGGAAGTCTATAACTTGTAAACTACTTTTGTGTTAGCATTGAGGCTCATGTACCTTGCTGGAATTTCATTTGCACAACCTTAATTGTTTTGCCATACGGTTTAATTTTCATACAATCTAGAACTCTGATTATTGGACCATAACTATTGGTGGACTGTGCCTTGTGAAGGCTAATAATAACTGTGAGAGTGTGCCTTTCATTACATGACATATTAATCAGAAAGGAATTCAACATATATTTGGGAAAGGGATTATATTCTATCTCATTCATACTATTTAAATTAGAAAGATGTTATTCAGCGAGGTATGAAGTTTTTTGTCTTGGTTTTGCTTTCAGTCAAGAGCTGAAGTGCAATGGGTCAACTGTGTTGGAAATTTCAAGTTTAGTAATTAAATAATTAAAAATTTTCAAAAAAAGAAGAAAATAGCTAGGAAAATAAGACATAAAAGGATACATTTTTTAATGTGATATAGACAAAAGATATGCAACTTTTGATATTATATGATTATAATTTTAGAAATTACAAATGAAAAGTGAATCCATCTTTTAGCTTTTGTTTTGGAAGCAAATAATTAAAAATGAGTCACTTAGATGGTTACCTTATTAGCTCAAAGCTACTTTAATTTTATCAGAGTCTGTATTTTAATCGTTACCAACTGCATGTTGATAAGAGAGAGTAATCTCTTGCTACGATGTTCGGGTTATTCACATTTATTTAGGTTTATATGTCATGTGTTGGCCACTTCCATATATTTGAGGTGACAAAACCTGGTGCTTCTCTGAATTTAGAGTTTAACCTTTTCTACATTAATACTAATGCTTCAAAATTTGACAGTTGTGAACCTGACACTCATTGATCTTCCTGGTCTCACAAAGGTGGCTGTTGGTAATTTACTTGCCCTTTTTTATGCTAAAATTGCATTTTATGTATATACTTATGAAATTATGTTTTTTTAATATGCATGTGTGGCAAACTTACTTGATTGTCAATTTTGCAGAGGGCCAACCTGATAGCGTTGTTGCCGAAATTGAGAATATGGTTCGCTCATATATTGAAAAGGTTATTCTTCTGAAATTATTATTTTTTTCCTGAACAATGAAAGATATCCTATTTGTTGGCTAGGTCATTTAGATTATAATCAAATGTTGATTCTTTTTCTTTGATTTACAGCCAAATTGTATAATTCTTGCCATTTCACCAGCCAATCAGGACCTTGCCACATCTGATGCTATTAAGATGTCCCGTGAAGTAGACCCTAAGGGTATGTCTTGGAGAAAAGTAGTGATCAGAACTTAATTTTGTGAATTCTATTTTCTTTAAATTTACTACATTTTTATCTTTAAAATGCTACTTTTTCACTAAATTGGAAATTTGTCTGAAAGGGGCCTCTAATAAGCATACAACATTTTTCAAAATGTCACTCAAGTGAATATATGAATGAGATTCGACATGGAAACTGCCATAACTGTTCAGATAGTGAATAAAAAATGTGTCGCA